TAACATGTATTTTATTAATCTGAGAGTTTACCTAACTTTACCATGTACAGTTAGAGTGATTTTTCTTGGTGTTAAATCTACTACCCTGTTATTTGTATAACAGATTAGTTTGCCAAAAAAGAGAGGAAAAACTACTAATAGCAAAAAGGATTACTCTTTATAAATATTACTGTTAAAGAATGTCGTTTAATTCAGTGCTCTAATAAATTATTTTAAAATGTATTTTATTACCATCATTTATTAAACAATAAGGAGACATTTTGGCTGCAAACAGTGATAACATCTCTATAGAACTGTATTTGGATAGTAATTTTTTTTCCTGACACAGTAGATAATTAGGAATTATAAATTATGCTTACACCCTTAAGCATGTTAGCTGGAGAGTGTATCAGACTGTGTGTTGTTCTTGGTGCCAGTTCAGGTCTTGATTTTCAAAAATTCTTGCACAGAAACACGATGAGTTTCAGTTTCTAGCAGCAAAATGTTAAGTGTATTATTCACCTGAGAGATTTAGACAGACCTTGCCACCTGTTTACCTTTTTGAGTGAAGCTGACCTTATGTTTGTAAGTGAGAAAGTCATTATTGTCAGCTGTTTTGCTGGCATCTTAGCCTTGTTCCTAGTGGTCAGATAATCTCATTTCAAATGTTTCCTGCAAAAAATGGTAATATTAAGTTTTTGGAAGGGTCACTGGGTAGCTAAAATAAGTTGCTTCTGTTCATCAGATTTGCTTCTTCCATAGTAAACTTGAAGTATGTTGACAGGGTAGCACAGCAACTGGCATGGATGTGGGTAAACCAGTGTGTGATACGAGTTCCAGATCTGTCTCCACAGGCTACTTTATAAATGCTTGGATCTCTTCACTTATGGTGACTCAGCAGCAAGGGCAGGGTATTTTTCAACCTCTGTCTCCCAGAGACTTAGTGGAGGTACCGTAACGCTGGTAGTATGCTAGGCCGTGCGGAAGTAAAGGAGGCCACTTGGGTTTCTTTAGATGCCCTCGCACAACCTGCATCTTTATTTTGTACTCTGTAAAATAAAACCTGTTGGGGGTGTCTGTCTCCCCTCTGTATTGAAGTAGTTAATCAATAAGGATGTGAGCAACCAACGTATATTATTTGGTAGAATATACAGTCCTACTCTGCTGAACTCTTGTTAACCCGGATGCCTGGTTAAATGCCACCAGATTATATATTTGAGGTTATTACTGTTCAGATTATCCATGATAATAGAGATAATATGCCGACATACTCCAGGAGTATGTCTGTGCAGACAGGTGCAGACAGATGCAAACTTGCTCTGCCCACACTCTGAGCAGGCTGTAGGCGAGCCAGTTCCAGTCTGGAAGCCATCAGCATGTTGCGTGGCACTATGCCCAAGCTAAAACACCTTGTCTCTTAGATAAATGAGGCTTTACAGCTTCTGAACTGAAGCTGACTCACAGGCAGCCTTAAGAGGACTGGCAGAGTGAGTTTGCATTCAGCTGCCCATCTGTGCAGATGTATTTATTCATGGTTCCACATTGCTGTGGAAGGACTTCAGTAGAAATCCCCATCCTTGTATTCTTGTGCAGTCATCCCTCAGCATTCGTAGCGTTAAGGCCTCACAATTCAAATTACATTTACTGTAAAGATAAGAATTAAGGAATGTATTGACAATAAATTTGGGGAGCCAATTCAAACTTGGTATGTGCTGTGGGTTTGGTTCAAATCTTAGAGTATCTCTGTGGCGCACTTGTGGAGTCATACGACAGCAGCTATTTCCCATGACTATGAACCATTATTTCCTGGAATTGGTTGGTATGAATCGTTATTTCCTGGAATTAAGTCTTTGGTTACGTGTTTTCACAAGTATTTTCCCAATATAAAAGAAGTGCTGTACCGAATGGAATTATCCAGTGACCCACAAGGCAATACAGAAAAAAGGTTTTGTTAGCTTTCCCTTGCAGAAACATTCTCATAACTTCTGGTTGGCCTTCATAATCCCTCAACACCATCAGCTGAGAAAGAGCATAAGATTCTGCAAAATCTTATGGTTTTGGGGATGCAGAATTCAGAGTGCAGATTTTTCAAAGCCTGTTGACTGTCTCTCCCCTCCCCTGGAAGGTTTTACCTCATCTGCTACTTTAAACAGGGGCTAGAGAGTGTTGCACAGTTGAGCAGTTATGACCATAAGAACATGTGATCATTTTGGCTGGCAATACAAAAAGATGGATGGGAGTGAATCCCATTCATTATCAGATGTTGAAATGATACTAATTCAGTAGTTCTGACTCTTCTTCCTCACTAGTCAGGTTTGTGTTTTCACTGCCAGTTTTCAGGCAGTGAGATAATCTAAACTATGGAGAAGATGTAGAATTTCAGTATAATATCATGTAGTTTTCAAGTCAATTTAAGTTCTGTTTGTGGCTTTTTACAGCTGTAATATGTGTTATATGTGATTAAATAACATATGTCATTAGAAACCTCATAGATGGGCAAGTATTTACCATGAAATTTGCTATTAGATGAGCAGACGTATTGGCTCTGGCTGGGATGGAATTAACTTACATAACTTAAGAATCAGTCTGAATATATTTACAAACCTTGGAATTTCTGAGAAGATTTCTTTGTTCTCATTCTGAGTGTGTTGGGATTGGTTATATCAATGTTTATCTTCGGCTAGTAAATAAGTTTATCTTTAGACTGATAATTATGGTATAAATAGATCTATATTTTGCTGTTTACCAGAGGTACCTACTTTACAGCAAAGATAACCATGAATTAAAGATGAGGACTTAATCCCACAGGTGTTAATTGCAGACAGTGCAAATCTTTGTCCTACATATCCTGAAAACCAGCAGAATGTTGTGAAATATTTTTTAAAATAATTTTCAAAATAGCAACAAAATTGTTGCTTGACGCAAGTTAAAAATTGGAAAATGTTCCGTGATGCAAACCACTGGAACATTGTCAAAACTTCTGAGTGGCCTTGCTTTGTAAATTTAATACAGTCTGCTATCAGATAACTGTAGAGGAACTGACCTAATCTTATTTCATTTAGAAGATGATTTTATGTAAGAATGCAATATGCTGTTTCTTTGGCTTTAAAGTCACAGAATAACTCTTTTTCTGTTGGAAAGCTTGTGTTATCACCCCTGAAAAAAAAAACACCCCACCTTCTGCGTACAGAGTTCTATGTAAAAGGTACTGTGGAGGAAAAGCTGAAATTGTGTTACATGCTTCTTTCTGTTTGAGCCAGATGCTCAAAAGAGGGCATATTTAGGTTTTACATGGTGCATAAGTTCTCTGCTCTCTGCAAAGTCAGAGGAATTGTTGAATAGAGTAGCAAATCAGCTTGCTTCTATTTCAGTGCATTAAAAAGTTAAGATTTTTATGAAAATGTTATGGAATTGAGATTGTGTTTGAGCACAACACATGAAAACACTGCCAGTCTTTTACAAATTAACATGCAGCAAGTTTTATGCATTATTATGAGGTTTACAGAAAACAATGTACTTATATAGTGTCAAATTAGAATTATAGATATGTGACCCTCTGATATATTTTTTCTTTAATATCTGTTATTCAAAATAATTAATAGCTATCATTTAAATTAAGACTGTTGGAGACTTACGACATCCTCTTTTAAACTCATTTAACTGTGATTAGAATGAAGACGACAGAATAATAAATGAGACTATTTAAGTGTATGAATAGAATGCAACTGTTTATCTAAAATTGATCCGTCTCTCATAACTTTGAAAGTAAAAAAAAATGGGTTGTTTTTCTTTGACTCCATCAGAAATATTGTCCTATAAATATTTACATTAATACATAAGGAACTTTGAGACAAAAGTGAAATAGCTTTCTTGACATTTTTGCTGGCAAGCAAAAGACTATGAGAATTCCAAACTTCTAGCTCACCTTGACTGTATGAAGTTCATGAGCCGTATTATTACATTTATTAGCAGTTGGAACCCAAGGTTAGTTTATGACTCATTTATCCACGTTTATTTTTTAATGATTGATCTTACATAGTTCTGGAAAAAGGCATAGGCCATAATATATTCTGTTCTAAAAGCTATTAAGTATTATATGATTTTTTTCTGGGCTGATAAGTCATATTCTGTCATTGAATGCATTGCAGTTGATGACTGTATTTATTTTATTCAGGAAAATAAGGGACAGATTATGGCCTTGCCAACGTGAGCATTTTAGAGTATAAGAAATAATAAGATACTGCCAGATCTGTGCCTCCAACTGCATGTTGTGAAAGTTACTTTCGTCATATGTCCTCACAAACTATTTACGATATCCCCATGCTAGCTTCTATGTAATTCTATATGTTTCTGAGTGTTGTGAGTTTCTGTTTGCTTTATAGAGATTGAGGGGTCAAAATTGCAAAGGAAAAGTTTCCTCATGAACAATTAGATAAGGAATTTCTTTTCTAGCTGTCATATTTACTTCTAGAATTATAGTTTTATGGTAACACAATGAATAATAATAAATCCATAGGAAAATGTGTAAGTAAATGTGAGGAAGATATCCAGAGATATCTGTACTGAGGTCTCTAGGGTACCAAATTAACAGGATAATATAAAAATGTATTTTATCTGTATCACTTTGTTTTTTATTATTCAATAATCTGTATTATTTGAATAATTCACAGCAGATTTACATAAGATATTCTAGAATTTGGGAAAGTGAATTTAAAAAAATGCATACTAAAGATTTTTAAATACAACACATTTCACACAAATACTGTTAGATATCATATTGTGGTAAAGTAGACTGAGATAAATGTTTTACAAAATAGATAATGAAAAATCAATAAAGATATCTTTTTAGGCTAATCAGTTTATTTCATGATTTGATTAGACTCGACAATGTTTGCTATTCAAGGATTGTCCATAAAGTAGTTGATTGTTCTAGTGGTTAAAAGAAACATCTCATGTAGTATGATGTAGTAGATGTTCTGTTTTAATGAGAATATAACTATTTTTTAATATTATTTTATCAGACAGGAAGCTTTGCTTGCTGCAATTAGTGAAAAAGATGCAAACATTGCCTTGCTTGAACTGTCTGCTTCAAAGAAAAAGAAGACTCAAGAGGAAGTAATGGCTCTTAAACGAGAGAAGGACAGATTAGTACATCAGTTAAAACAGCAGGTGGGGAAACTCATTTTTATACTTCGTGACAACAGAAAATTTTGGTTATTTTCATTTGTACTGTTTTATTCTAACCTCGTATTGAAAGTCTTCAAGCCAGGTCTGACATGTGATAGCAGTTACGAAAGGTAGGAGGTGTTCAATTTAAGTGTTTATTGCTTCTCTATGGTTAAGTATTTAGCTGCACGTTTGCTTGGCTCATATTATATGCAGCCGATACACTTTCTGTTTTTCCCTCCTCATGTAGCTTCCAACCTTCTTAATTATGTCGGACAGAGGAGAGCAGATGCTTTTTGCCATAAAGCAAGATCTCTCCTCCATTCTGTTGACTCTTTCTAACCCTCTTGTGTTCAGTTATTTACTGTTGTAAAATAATTGTGTTTTCAGAAGGTTTCAGGCTTTCTGACAGGTTATCTGGCAATCGTGATTATCCTTAAAATAAATTCTTAAATGAGTAAAAGTCACCCTGTCTTCAACACTGTAAGTCATTTGAGGTTTTAATAAAAAAAATGTAGCTACAAACACTAGAAATAGATGCTATCACAAGTAAATTTAATTTATGTTCTGCTTTCTTAAACCATACTAGACACAGTACACATGATTCAGACACAGTACATAGGTCTATTCTAACTAAAATGCTTAAAACTCTGCATACTGTGCAGTGGCTACTCCCCTTGATATTTAAAAGGTAACAGTTATAGTCAGAAGAGGTATTGTAGGTAAGAGGACAAAGGATGTTCAGATAACCTAGGTACTAAAGACCTGTGCTGTGTGTCATGTATGTTGTTAAACAGCTTCCCTCTTTCAGAATAGGTGAAAAAGATGAGAAAGATGTTTTCAGGCCATGACTGAAGGTGTTGTATCTGATGTGTTCCTTTGTGTGTCATTCCTGTATTCTGTGATGGTTGCTTGAGGAAGAGGAGAACAACATCAGCAAAATCGTTCTGGTCTCCTTAGCCTGTCAAAGTAACCACTCTGCTCTCAGTCAGTGTGCCACTTTGCAAATGAGCATGCCATGTTAACGATGTTTAGGACATACTGCATGGTCAATGTTATGATTCTTTATTCTGAATCATGCATTACATGCTGTTGAACTCCATGCACTCAATAACAGAAAGTTAGGGAAAACCCTTGCTACTGTGATAAATTCCCAAAAGCTCTGACCTCATGCATCTAACCATTACAGCTTTTTCCCACAGGTGTGTAAAAATAGGAAACAGCCCCTGAGCATGAACTTATCATCCACTCGTGGTGCTGACTTCATTACAGACATTCCAGCCAAGTACCTGTGTTCCAGCCATGATGCACTCATGTCTCAGGTCAGTCAGCTGGCCAGGAGACATTTCACTGAAATTGTATATGCTAAATAGGCAGACATACTTTATGCCTTCTAGCACTTCATCCCACTGTGCTGCATCAGAGCAGATGGTGTTACGTTCCAAATAATTTTAGGGATTTTTGTTTTGGTTTGCCTTGGATAAAGAGAAGGCAGTTATTTTCCTTTAGGTGTCTTCTTTTTTCACCTTTATCTTTTGTTACTGAAGAATAAATGAATACACCACTTTGCCATGTTCCATGATACCTGTCACGGATATTTTTAAAATGTTCATCAGAGACTTGGGCAAACCAGGTTTTTTTTGTTGTGTTTTTGTTTGTTTGTTTTTGTACCTTTAAGCTATTGCTGAAAAGTGTTCAAAACATTAATAACTTTTCTCAGACAGAGTGAATGGACAGCAGAAGAGGATTGCTAGAGAGGCATTATTTTGGATAACTTCAGTTAGAATTGTAACCAAATACTTCAAATACCTCCATTATTTATAGTGATAAAGATCTTCAGTAAAGCTATTTAACTAGATTAAATTGATGCCAAAATAATCTCCCTGTTATCTCAGACACCACAAAAAAAAAAAAAAAAAAAAAGAAAAAAGAAAAAAGAAAGAGACACCAGGAACAGGAATGTGGTTTAACTAGGTCACCACTTTATTACACTTAAGAATTTTCTGATAATAGAGGTTGTAGAGATCATTCGTACTTCTTTAATCCCTTTGGGGAGAACCACTGTCAACCCCCAAAGCTTTCACATGTACATCCAACACAAAGGCTTGTTAGTGCTACTCTTCCTTGCTATGACTGGGCAGTTGGCAGTGGGAATTGGTGGATTCCACGCTGTGTGATACATCCACCCTGTTCCTCAGTTTCTTTGAGAGATGCCGTTTCCCAGTCTATTGCTGATTCACTGGAACTTGACTGAATGATCAGCTGCAGTATCAAATTTTTTCTTATGGCCTTATTTGTCCCATCCCCTATTTCCACAGCTGTTACACTGCTGAAAGAAAGAAGAAAAAAAGCCCAGCTTCTCCAGGCTAATGTGATCACAAAAGGAGAGATATTTAATAATATCAGAAAATTACACACTAGATAATGCTAAACATTAGGCCCCCAAATCCACTCCTGTTCTACACTGTAGGAGGAATTTTTACTTTGTGAGGCAAAATAGCATGGTGGGCAATGATAAAAATCTGTATTCCCTTCATGTATATCCACAGTAGCAAATGGATTTTTGATGCATCTATTTATCCAGTCAAGCAGGCAGCTTTCTGCTCATGGCTACAGGAGGCTGAGAACTTATCAAGGCAGCAGGGCAAAGGAGGAGAATAGGGACCTTAAAGAATCCAAGGAGTTTATTTTCATAGAATCATAGAATCATTAAGGTTGGAAAAGTCCTCAAGGATCATCAAGTCCAACTGTCAACTCAACACCACCCAACCCACTAAACCATGTCCCTGAGCACCACATCTACAAGTTTCTTGAACACCTCCAGGGATGGTGACTCCACCACTTCCCTGGGTAGCCTGTTCCAATGCCTGATGACTCTTTCAGTGAAGAATTTTTTTCTAATATCTAACCTAAACCTCCCCTGGGGCAACTTGTGGCCATTTCCTCTTGTCCTATCACTTGTTACTTTAGAGAAGAGGCCAGCACCCACCTCACTACACCCTCCTTTCAGGTAGTTGTAGAGAGTGATGAGGTCTCCTCTCAGCCTCCTCTTCTCTAAACTAAACAACCCCAGCTCCCTCAGCCGCTTCTTGTAAGACCTGTGCTCCAGACCCTTCACCAGCTTCATTGCCCTTCTCTGGACCTGCTCCAGCACCTCAATGTCCTTCTTGTGGTGAGGGGCCCAAATCTGAACACAGGATTCAAGGTGCGGCCTCACCAGTGCCTACCTAGTACAGGTTCTCTGTCTTTCAGTTAGTGATGGGAAAGCATCATCATATATCTGACAGTTTTATTTGCTTTTTGCTTTTGTTTGAAGTCTGGGGAGTTTCTTTCTATCTCAGAAACTCTGTTCTGTTTCTGCTGCTATCTCTTTCAGTGGCATCCTAGACTTTGTAATGTAGTTGATAAATTCCAATTCCATATTTCTAGCAATTTCAAATGATGCTGTACTATAGATCATTGCAATGGATAATAACTAAAAAAGAGCAATGTTATATTACAAGCCTAGGATGCTGGTTTGCTATTGCTATCGAAGTGGTAGCTTCAGTGTCTGAGGTGGGATCGCTGTAGTTTTGGGAAGTCCTCTGCTGATATGATAAAGTACGAAGGGCTTTTTTTGAGAGAGCTACAAAGGTTGTTTCTTGAGAGAGAGAAGGAGAAGTATGTACGTGAATTCATCAGAATCCAAGATTTCTGACTGTATTCACATAATGCCCAGGAATAACCTCTTTGAGGTGTAAGAAAGGAAGTTACTGTCTTCCTCTGGAAAATCCTGTTGATGTAAATTTCCTAGGGTCAGAATTTTTTTTCACACAAAAACCATTAATATTCCCCCTTCATACTTCCATGTGCAGGAGAGGGCCAACTGCTGCTCTTCCACCTAACTCTGATGAGGCCAGTGAGGGTCATAATTTAAGGGAAAGGGTCGTGTATTTTTAATGGATATACTTGGTAACATATATAGGTGCTTACTTAGTTGGAACATCACAATGTTTGCAAATTCATCTGCTGCTACTCATAATGCTGTACAAGAGCTGTGGTGGCTCCAGCCATGTGAGGTCATTGTAGGCATGAAAAGCCTGCTTCATATTTGAGGAGATAGGGCACAGTATGTAATAGATGTCTTAAAGGTTCAGGAGGTCAATTCTATTAAACTCAGTGGAGTAACCCAAAGTATTGAGGTTACTCATAGAATTTTATTGTTATTGGATTAAGGCCAGAAAACCAGATTCTATCGCTGCGCTGTAATGTATCGCAGACTTGCACTGAGCTTGAATTGCCTAAATGCAAATGTAGCTGCTTTTACCACAGATTCACACTGTGAAAAACTTTTCTAATCACTCTGGTAGACTCCTGAAGCATCCTAGTGTATTTTGTGTTTCAAGTGGAAGCTTCTTGGCTCTCCATAAGCTTCCTTAGGGTTGGTTCAGAATAGTATTAACATTGTACCACAGGCAATGAACATGAAAAAATCCATGAGAGGAAGAAAAGTACCAAGAGCTTTTCAATATCTCTAGGAGTAACATGCTGTTATCTGATCAGACACCATTCTGGCAAAGATAAAACAAATACAGTGTACTGTCTGCTGAGGCATGAATATTCAGCTTGGTGTATCCATGTCGTAAACTTGATGTTATTTTGTCTTTTATTTTTAATGTGGTTTGTCTTACAACAGTGAAGTTAGTTATTACTTGGATGGAGGAAAAGTATTTACTTCCCAAATTCACCCCTTCCGCTCCATCCCCGCAAACTAAAAAAGACACCTGCATCATTTTCTTTTTAATTAATCAATTACTTTTTTAGTCATAAATGTCAATGTTTTTCACATTGACAAATGTACTGATTTCCATCGCTCAACAGTGCTTGCAGACTGACAAAAGACAATAGCAATCTAAACTAAAATAGAATTAAACCAGAAGTAGAATTTGTTCAAAAAAGTTTTTAACTCTCAATTGCAAATTTCAGGTTGTTTTTTTTTTTTTCTCTTTATAAGTAGTTCATGA